TGATCCTTTCTAGTTTTCGTATGTCGTGATTTCTCAGTGCTGAGAATTGTCTCTGTCTTGTATTCGTCAAAGTTTTCACCAAATCGACCTGTTCTTTTTCACAATTATGTGTTGCAGTTCTCCAAAAACACAGAAAGTTTTGAGAAGAACCTAAATCTAACACTTATCTAGGCAAAGCAGTAAACTCTTAGACTTTTTTGCGACGCCAAAATGTATACTAACTACATAGTTTCCACAAAATGAAACACGAGAACTAGAAAGGGCTAGAGCAAAGACTACCTATTATAACCCTGTAAATTAGGGATTTGTTAATATTGTTAAAGTAAAGTACAACTTTGACAGCTAGTTTTCGGGGTTTAAAACACACGGGATATTTGAAGCTGCCAGCTGCGGTTTTCAGAGGCGGCTCCGGATAATTTCGCCATTGTAAAATACATAGGATTACTGTAAAATAGTAGGTTTTTTTCAGTTTCACATTCCTTTCCGACTCGTAACTCTCAATATCGAAAAATCGCCATTTTCAAATTCTGATATGTTGTAGAGAAAAAAAATTCTACACGAAATATATCTTTTTTTAAAACTTTAAAGACACGTTTTTTTTCTGTGCTTGTTTGAAATTTTGTAATTTAAAAGTTCAGGACATACTGAATAAGCAGACAAAAATCATTGAATTCCGTTGAGAACTGATCAAATTACAAGCCTCCAAAGATAGGCATGGTAAGCGGCAACCTGGCAAATTTCGCAACGTTGGGGGGGGGGTGTGACTTAGCGGGGAACTCTTTTTTCCAAGTTTTCTTTGCGGATTTCTTTATGCCGGCCTAGACTCTACTAATCAGCAAAAAATGAAAAAAATCTGAGAGGCTGATTTTCAGAGGTGTGCGATTTGGCATGGAATGGCCCATACATATAAATATATATCTGTTCTTTTTTAATTACAGTTTTATTTTTGGAAGAAGAAGAGTAAAGAACAGGCCTTGATAAACATTTTGACAAGAGAAAATTTACAACCTCTTTGGGCGATATTTGAATTTTTTATTGCGGTAACCTTTCTAACTGTACCAGTCTATTCCACCGTTGGCAAATGAATACATATATGCCAGTTAGTTTAGTGTGACCCTTTTGAAATTAGACTGCTTCTGGCTCTGTTTTCAGTAATTCAGCTGTATATTAATAAAGTAAAACTGCTTTTCAAAGTCATATAGACTGCTTTTACAGCTTCAAAAACAGGTAATTG